TGAAGGTCTCAACTTAATGTTACAATAATCTGTTTCTAAATTAGTATTCCTAGAGTGCGCCAGCCAGCCCTGTCTGGGTTTCAGTTCAAATATTAAAGTCTGTTGCACTTATTGTGAATGGCAAAGTAAATCTACTGACTTGATTTGTGGCAGTGGCTTTACATTTGAAAGCAACTATCAGATTTAATAATTTCAGAAATTTCCCACCTTTCTCGTTTGGCTCTATTTTGCAAGATCCTCTGAGGATTGAGATATTTCAGACTTAAAATGTGTTTTATTATTAATGAAACTTTGGAAACTTTGGGTCTCCTCTCTTACGCACGAGTCTAAAAATGAATTCTCTCATGCCGGGAGACCTATAAATATTTTGGTGAGGATATCAGGACAGCTGCCGTTGCCAAAACAAGCTCTACAACATCTTCTAAAGCGCCCCATATTTGACTCTCAACCCCAACTTTGCTCAGTCAAACTCGGGCCGTGACATTGTGCACAGAAAACCTCATGCCCATTGTTTGCTTTCTAATACATAATTCATTTTGAGAAAGCACTGTCTTGGTGAGCTGTGAATGTCTCCGTGAGCAGCGTTTTGAGAAATGAGGCCAGGTGGAAAGTCTAAAGAATTGTAATTGGTTGCACAAAACCCCCCAAACATTTTGCACTAAATGAAGTAAAATTTAACAGAATGCTGCATCTGTTTGACAATGTAGTACTTTACATGACCATTTTCATTCCTGTGCAGTTTACGTGGCATCCATTAAGTGGCTTATCAATATTTATACATGTCTTAAGCTAAAAGAAGAGAGGACAGGGAGTCAAGGGTGAATCGAAACCCATCAAGAAGCATCCCGCGTGGCTTTACATGCATCTCTAATGGAAAGCTTCGGCGCCTTAGTGTGAATTAAGTAAATGGCATATCAAGTAGCTGACTACTTGTATCTGTTGTGCAGTTTTTGGACTGAAACCTTGCTATTGTTGACCTCTGTACTCTTCTACTCGGATACATTGACATTCTGCTCCTCCCCTTTTGTCACATGCCTGATCCAATCTCCGTGTTTAATGAGCCATTGCTCTCGCTCTCCGGATTTGATCTAAGTCTACAGACGACTGCTATCTCCCATAATCCTTTGGGTTCCCAGGGTCACACCAAAACCAACAGTGTCATTGAAAGGATTAACAGGTCGTTGGAGTCAAACTACAAAAGTGTGCCGTTTTATAGATCACCATAAGTTGCGACAGAATGACAAGTGTCTTGATGAAACAGTGTTGACTTTGTATTAGCCAGCATTGTTTGTCAAGTCTCAGCAAGTCTGGCGGATCTTTACTTTGTCTTCAGGGCTGCAAGCTGATAGAAGTTTCTTTGAGGTAGAACAGTCGGCATGTCACCTGAAGGTCACGGATAAATAAACAAGAGGATTTAATGTGGCAAGCGCTAGTACAAATTGAACTCTGAACTACTTTGTTTTATCTTGCGAAGTGGTGACGGCCCATGACACAATGCTATTAAGCAGACACAAATTATCCCAACGGAGCAGGGAACGTTTGATGGATATGGAGGGTAGTCTTTATACTTCTGTGCTCAATGAGCAGTGCAAATACAGTTTGTGACTGTCATCAGGGGCGATTGTAGGTTTTCAGCCTTTGGGGGTGCTCAACCCTATACACAAATATGAGCTATTACCACTGAGAGAAAAGTTTCTAGCTTTAAAAGTTGGTTGTTATAAGTTAGACTCATTTTTGTTTGTAAATGTAACATTTAAGATGTGATTACTGGTAATGTAGGGTTTCCTAGTAAATAGGATTTAGTTATACTTTATCCATTAAAAAAAAAAAATCGCATCAGGCTAAGCAAAGTGCAGTACTCCAACAAAGTAATGACTTAGGATGACTGTTTACAATCTGCTCATAAAAGTGTTTGTATGCAATTTTATGCAACATTGACTGATAGCCATGATATATTCGCAATATCAGAACTCGTACAGCCTCCTCACCCTTCTGTATTACTCCACCCTCAGAGTGAAAACAGATCAATAAACTCACTCTAGTTTGACAAATAATGTACTTTTGAGGCTTTTTAAAGCAAGAATGTAGTCTTTTATATTGCATCTAAGAAATTTATTTATAAGGATTGTACCTATTTTAAGTATTTTTAGCTTCTGAGATACAGCATGTCGACATCCATCAGCCTGTCACTGAGCAGAGCAAAGATGGTTGACTTTGCACTTCCACAAGATGGCGTCAGAGACTGCATAATAAGCCCTTAGAGGAGAAGAGACTGGCTTATTTTCAAACTACAGCTGATCTAAACATAACATTGGTGAGTGTCATTCTAAGTCGATCTCTCTATTTTTGCAATGCTGTATATTTATATATGTTTTTATCATAGTAATTGTAGATGGGACTCTCATATCTGGAATATATGTATTTTGTGTTGGCCACTCTTTGTATAACCCCAAGTTACTGTACTTTTTGGTTTGCTATCTGTTTGTTTTAATGAATAACCTGTTTTTCTTACTGCAGACTAGTTCAGTAAAAAAGAGAAAGAAGAAATGCCTGCATGTGTGTAGCAGCCTGATCTCACGATAAAACGTAAGTATTTTACGTTTTGCCAGTTTAGTGGCTAATTCGTACGAGTTCAGTCGTACGAAATGGTACGATTTTAAAAAGGAGGCGTGGCACCTGACCCCACCCCTAACCCCGACCGTCATTGGGGGATAAGCAAATCGTACTAAATTGTACGAATTAGATCGTACGAATTCATACGAATTAGCCACTAAATGAAAAAGTTACGAATTGCCGTGAGATTGTGTTGGTTTTTCCTTATCGCAAACACAACAGTAATCTGGTAGTGATTATGTTGCTTTAGCTATTTCGATTAATTATTGTGGTATCGCGATTTCAACAGAGAAATACTGGGAGATATCTCTGTAGACTGATGGGATTTCATGTCGTTCAGCCTTATAATCTTAAAATGTCAGCAAAATCACCTGCTTTCCATTACTTTAGACATTACACTAGAGAATCATTCACATGCTAAGTTCTAAAGTAATGTTGGTGAAAATGGTTTCAGCTGTTTTGAAGTCATCTGCAGATGTGAAAGTATGGCATAGTTCCTTATACAAAAGGATTTTGAGACTCCATGTTTTTCTTTTTTTGTGTACACTATTATGCCATCGAACTGTTGTGTAAACGCAATATCACACTCGTAGCAGTGTGATATGCCTATAAAAGGCCATGTGTGATATTGCTCATTCATCAGATGACACATACTTATTTTGTGAGTGTGTTAGCCATCATGTGTGCTTAGCAAAAGATTAACTCTAGAGAGATGGTTCTTTTTAATGTAATAAATCGGCATCAGCAAGTGAATCATTTCAAAGCTTTTGGCAATGGCAAATGGCATAAGTGAAAAAAGGTCCTTTTCCATGCTGACACTTTTACTGTGTTTCAGAAAATGACCTCTGTTAACACTATTCAACCAAAAACATATGATGTGACCACTCACACTCATTGGGTGAGTGCATATTTGTCTGACTTCTGTACTTGTTGTCTAATGCTTGTGTAATATGCGAGGAGCTTGACAAATCAGAAAATGAAACACAGCAGTACAGAATAGTTGTTACAATACAATGTTCTTTGATTAGAAGTAAAAATAAGTTAGGGGATGCCTTTAACACACTAATAGCAATCACCCAGATGTTGTCCACATCGCTCACAGCTCACTTGTACTTCAAATGCGCACAAAAAACAAAACAAATGACTGTAGTGAAAGAACAGCACTAAAATAAATGAACATTTCAGTTTTACTAGTGTGAAAATTTGATTATTTGACAATACTGAATATATGTCTGGCTGTGTGAGATTTTAGGTTTTGTTATTATCTTTTCTTTTTTTTTGCATGACACGTTGACGTTATGGCGCAGAAAACTTTCAGCTTCATCCTGAACTATGTATGCATTTGTTTCATGTTGTCACAAAATGGAAGAAAAACTCTATGGAGCACATACAGTAAATGTCACATTCTTTTTCTTTCTCCTGTCAACTTCAGTCTACAAATGAGTCTACTTTCATAAACAATACAGCAGGAGTTGGGGAAGGTCTTTCTTTTTAACCTTCCTCATAAGCTGTTCACCCATTTCGATAAAAAAACTTCCAACTATGATTTTGTGACTTAAAAAATGATATCCATGCAACCATAAACCAACAGACTAACATACACTAAGTCAAGTGGAAATAAGTAATTTATTGTAGTTTTTTGTTTTGTTTTGCTTTGTTTTTAATATTATACTGAATTCATAAAACAAGAACAAAACGTTTTAAAAACATGTGCTATAAGTGAATTGGATAAACTAAATAGACCGTAGTGTATGTGTGTGAATTAGTGTATATGGATGTTTCCCAGTACTGGGTTGCAGCTGGAAGGGCATCTTCTGTGTGAGACATACTGGATAAGTTGGTGGTTCATTCAGCAGTGGTGACCCCTGATGAATAAGCCAAAGGAAAATGAATGAATGGAGGGAGACTAACTAAAGTAGTCAAAATTTTAGGTGAATCGAAAAGACTTATCAAAATTGTCCTAAAACAAGAATAGGTGTACAATAGTTACAGGACAACTTTGATGAAAGGTTGTGATGCAATTGAAATGTTGACTGTATATACAAACTACACATTTCGTTTAGGGAGCCATTTGTGTTCTATTATTTATTTATTTATTGTTGCATAATCATATTTTTTAAGGGGGGGGGGGTGGGGCTTACAGATTACACCGTTTTTTTTAGGAGCACTGATGAAATTGAGGTCTGGAAATCTGATCAAAACGAATATTGCAACAGAATCATTGCATGTCCTCCTTAATATATTGTAATCTTCCAGCAACAACCAAACATTCAGTAACGAACCTAAAACAGGTTGTTTTATGTGCAGACTAAATAACTGGCAGTTGCTGGACAAGGGAGGAGCCACAGCCTCACAGATGAGTCTTCTCCATTATCATAAACTACCTCCGCCCACCCCACTGTGGATCTCTCTCTCTTTCGCTATCTCTCCCTCTCTCTCTCTCCTCGTCTCTCTTTCCTCTGTTAATTCAGTTCTGGACAGCGCCGGGTACTGATGCTGCTGCCCGTGTAGTCGCATCTATCCTGGGGGCCTCCTCCCACTCATCCCAGCTCGAGAATCCGCATGTAGAGTCGTTCGGTGTCTGTCGCAGAAAAAAAGTCTCCGCAGTACTGCATCGGAATAAGGGCTCAGTGCACAAATCTTCTTCAACTGTATTCGTGGCTGTGAGTGTGGCGCTTTTCTGCATCAGCGCAAAGGAAGTTCTGTTCAGTCGTGCGGTGGGTGATGCTGTGAGATGCGTCGTGTTTAGCGCACGGAACCCCGATTTATTTGCCCAGACGGGAGAATAGAAGAAGCCAACAGTGCATGTGGGCACGTTTTAACTTTGATTCGGATTTTTTTCAGGATGTTTTGACGGGTGCTCTCCTAACGGGTTGACTGAAGATTTCGCCTTCAAGAGAAGCCCATTCGAGGCAAAAAAAAAGCAGTTTCAAAGGAGGACAAGCAGCCTCTCCGCACGGGATTTAAACCTACTGTCTCTTCGGCATCTTTTTCAATCGAGAGAGGATAGCTATTAACAGAAGGAGACATGAAAGTTTTTCCGGCAGTATTGTTTCTGATCACATTTTGGAGTCTGGAGTGGGAACCTGTTCTTCCCGATTCAATCATTCACATCGGTAAGTTCAGATGTCTGAAACACCATCAATGACTGTAATGCACTTTATGCAATCGCTGAGATTCTGAGGTCCATTTATAGCGCCCAAAGCTTCGTGTTGAATACGGTTGTGGCTGTAATATCAGGTTGGAGAGACGTACATCTCCATCTGCCCTCATCAATGCGTCCATTATGTAGTCTAGGTGGTGGAGAACAGGTGGTTTGACTAGAAGTGATTTCTCGTGACGCCGCATATATGCACCCCACGTTATGACATCTTTCAGAAAACGCCAACTTGGATTTCCAAAGATCAAGAGTGTTTGGCAATACTCTTTGTAAAAGGATTGAGCGAGCGCGCACGTGCGCGTGCATGCTTTTGCGATGGGTACGAGGATTGGCGCTGCGCGTGAGATCGGAGAAGGTCCAAGACAGGTCTTAAATCAGAGCCGTAAAAGAGAGGGTTCCTCCGAGGGGCCGCGGTGTGGAGGTGCTGGGGGTTTGGCATGAGAGAATTTGGCGTGGGATCATGCCCGTGTTTAATTTAATTAAGGCTTGATGCACTAACCAAATAAATATTGTAGCAAATGTGTTTCTGGCTAGACGTGGTGCATGCCTCAAAGTTTGTTAAATAAGTCACAGGCTATGCATAAAATTAATAAAACATCAGCAAAAATATCAATGTTTGTGAGTAGAAATGGCGATGTGGGTTAAAACGACAATATAAGTTTGAGTGTATTTCGGGAAGTTAATTGCATAATTTTGGGGGGATTTTACTTGGTAAACATTTCATACAATCAAATTAAAAATAAAATCAAGTAAAACGTTTGAATAGTTTATTAATACACCTAAAGTTATGTGGTAGTGTGTTTGTGTGTGTTCTGTTTTTATGATTGGCCAAATTTGCTGGAGAGGCCAGTTGTTATGCAGTCATGTGACTTCCACTGACCCACCTGTGACCACTGAGCTCAAATATACTGCTATATTGAACGTATTAACTAATGTAAAGGCCTACTAAAAGTCACTTTGTAATGGATGAAACATATTATTATATTTCAGTAGTAGCCTATTTACAATATCTCTCAGAGCTATTATTCCGGTTTAGTAGCCTATATTGTTAGTATTTTTTTATTGTTTGTATATTTTTACAGTGGAGTACAAAAAAGCAGGTCATCGTTGCACTTTATAATAATTTGTGATGAAATCTTGTTATTTTTAGTGCATAAGCAATCTACCATATAGCAAACAGGTGGTGTACAAGACGTTCATGATATTTCTCAATCTGGAATTGCTTTTCGACACACAGGACTCTTGGCACAGCGGTCTACCTTAATATGAAACAATAAATAAGATGAAATGCCTACAGATAATCAATGAACATTTACGCCTTCTCTTTAACACCGCACAATTGCTGTCGCGTGTTTCATGTGCACTGAGGGCATCTGAGACAGTTTTGCCTGTCATTAGTAATCCCCTCCTAATCTTTTCTCTGCAGTAGCTCTGTGAAAACGTGACGTCATTTGAATGCTAAAACGACATGGTTTCTTTGTCGGCGAGGCGCCTGATGAAGGCATTTTATCACACGCGCTTTACTTGATTGCCGAGCAGCCCCTAATGATGTGCGCACCAAGAGAAGTATCTCGAGCGCCGTGTGTTGCATCGCAATACTGCAGCTCCTTTAGGAGCCCATTGAGAAAGTCACAGTGATTTATGTGTGTGGAAAGCCCAGACTGTCCGGCAGTGCGCGGGTGCACCTCCAAATGCGCCTTTAGCACCGACCAAGAAGTGCCAAGAGACGGCGCAGGCCTGCTTTGAACTTGGCTCCAAACTAGAGATTGATGATTAGGTAATTATCTCAACACTAGTACAAACGTTTGGCTTTCAGGGGCCACTAGTCCTTGAGGAATTTTGATCACGTTTCCTTTGTCGCCGCCTAGTGGTCACAGTGCTTTTCCTAAACTTGAACTCCACTGTAGGGTCTCAAACTTTTCTCAGCTTAAGGTGTCTTGTCTGACTCGGAAACCTATTGCTGTAAACAGTTAAAATCAGTGCTGTTTTAGTTTTGTCTAGTTAATCTACCCACATATTGTTTTCTTCATAATATTTTTTTGTCTGTACGCATTTCAATTATAGCAATTTTGGTGCATTCTCTTGTTAATGTGTATTTTATTTAGTATTAAATGATTAAAAATGTGTGTATACATATTAATGAATAGCTAAAAATAAAACACAACTAAGCTGTCAAAACAGATTATCATAATGCATGCAACATCTAATTAACGTTTTTTTCATTTATTCATTTTCTTTTGGCTTAGTCAGGGCCCCCACAGCAGAATGAACCACTAACTTATGTAGCATATGTTTTACACAGTGGGTGCCCTTCCAGCAGGCAGCCCAGTACTGGGAAACATCCATTGACACTCATACACCAAAGTGAATTTAGCCGGGACTCGAACCAGCAGCCTTCTTGTTGTGAGGAACAGTTCTAACCACTGAGCCACTGTCATCTTAATTAATGTATTTACACTTAGATGATTAATTGTATTTTATTTTTGGTTTTACAGTGAAATACACACTTTAATCATTTGAGTGACGTTGTGAACCATTTCTTTTAGTGCATAAGCAAACAGGTGGTCTACAAACAAAACATTTCCTCTCAATCTAGAATTGCTTTTTGCCACTTTTCACACCGTGTTCTACCTTGTTCTGAATCAATATATAGGCTTAAAAGCATGGAGAAAATGAATAAACAATATCTAAACTATTAGCATGAAATAAGTTTGTTGCATGTTTGTTTAACTTGCTACATTTCAGTTATCAAAAATGAGTTAGCTTTTGTTTATCTATTAAACATTGTAAAATGATGAATTATATATATTATGTATCAAAGAGAAGGCTACTTTCACATCAAACAATAATCGTCCGACCCCCTGCTGCAGCAGCTGTGGACCCCCTGTTGTAAGACCCTGTTCTTGGTTGCTTTTTCAAGGATATTCACACTCTTCAGTGTTTCTGCCGTGCCTTTAAAGATACGCCATGTAATATTAATTCCTTTATTCCCCAGATGCTTATTTTCGGCTGTCTAATTGGTTGGGAGCACAGTATAAATCTTGCAGCACCTGTTTCAGTGGAACCAAGTCTCCTCTCCGCTGTTCACAATAATCGTTGAGCATGGACTAGATTTCGTCTGCGACAGTTTTAATGGTGTGGATCGCCCTCATTCTCAGGAAGATTTGACATATTGAGAGCACGTCTGGGGCTCTTAGGGGATATCACAAATACTCTCCACTGACAGAGTGTGTGTTTTCAGTCTGGCTGAAGCTTCCTTGTAATGTAGGTTGCGTGTTTGACATTTATTACGCAACTGAGAAGAATAGATGGAGAGAGGGGGAGAACGATATCAAAGCTGGAGGGGAATCAAATCGTTATCCCTTTTCTCTCCCCAGTCATGGGTAGTTACGTGTTAAACTCTAAAGCCAGAGGAAATTGTGGGATATAATCCTGAGCATTGCATTGTAGGTGGGACAGATGGGTAGTGCCATTTTCGTTGGTCTATTTCTGGCCGCCCCGTCCCAAGAACATGGTGATAATGAGATGTGCTTGCCCGGAGACTATCCTTCAAACTAGTGTTGCTTAAGCGTTCTCTCTAGCCCACTGTCCTTCTTTTAAGTCCTGCAATATAAAGTAGTGGTAATGAGGAGCAGCGCTTGTAAAGGTCTTGTAATTACGAGCAGTGCATGCATGGAGATGTGTTTGTTTTGATTGGATGGCTGTGTTGTGCCTGCTCAGGTGTTGGAAGAGATAATGAAAAGTTGAAATGCTTGATATAGAAGCGTTTTCCAAAGACGATTATGTGATCCCTTTTAGGCAGGGTTATTATCGTGGCATTAGCAGATGCATTGCTTTAACATTGCAGCATTCAGACTGTTGCATGTACAGTAGTTAGAAGCATCGTTTCTGCAATTAGAGTCTTTTTAAAATGAAGGAATGTTTATGCATAGATATAATTGCATCTTTTATTCGTAATGGGCATGTGAGGTTTTTGTGATGTTCTATGGCATTGAACTTTTATTCATTCTCTCTCAGGAGATGAATTGTTGATATCAACAATTCAATTCTTGCCGTCAACAACTAAATTGTTGATATAAAAATGAAATTGTTGACATAAAACAGAATTATTATCAATGTTATTTTTGCTATAAAAATGTAATTGTTGATATCATCATTTTCGATATCAACACATTTATTTTTGATTTGTGTAACTGTATTTTCACTAGTTAAATGTCATTAGATGTATGTTTTACTAGTTGAAATGTAATTCCTGATATCAACAATTTTCGATTTTAGTAAATTGATTTGTTATATTAAATTTTTTTTCTGATATCATGAATGAATGATGATTTTGTAATTGCTATTAGTAAAATAATTCAATTCATGTTTGTTTATACAGTGTCATGTAGATTGTGTCAACTCAAAGAAGCTTAACATAGAAGTTCTAGTCAACTGAAACCATGTCAGTCCAGTTTTTAGAGTTGAAGTTCAGTTTAGTTCAGTTCCGTGTGGTTTAAATTTCACTGCTGAAAGTCCAAACACTGAACAGCAAATCCATTGATGCACGTTTATGAACAAAACATCCCCAATTGATAAAAGTGAAAGAAAAAAAAAACCTTGAGAGAAACCAGGCTCAGTAAAATAATTATTTTACTTATTAAACTACATCACAAATACATTTTTAGATATCAGAAATAACAAATGTAACATATTGAAATATAATTGCAGTTTTCAAAAGCATTTTTACTGGTAACAATCCAATTATTGATATTAATCAATATGGCTTGTGATAAACAATTATATTATACTATTAATTGTTTAGGGTTATTTCTATTGGAATTGTAGAGCCAATGCTATGAAATTTCATTTTGTGTATACATACATGTGAATGACAATAAAGTACTTGGATTGAACAATTAGCATTTTTGAAATCAAGAATTGTATTTTTGCAAATTATGACATTGCTGATGTCAA